GCCCTTTCCAAATGTTTTTATAGTTTTTAGTCTGAATGCCTGATGTCATTATACTTTGAGTAGCAGTTAATATTTCTTATTTACACAACCTATTGCACACATTCTAAACAACAAAAGAAGAATAAGTAGCTAATATGAAAGAAAACTACATAAATATCCTTGTCTCTGTAAGGTCCGTCAGTAAAGTAGTGAATTTTGAAAGAGTTAACAATGAAGACCACGGAACACTCCATGAAAATCAGACAATTAGCAAATCAATAAATTGGTTATGAGGCCAATAGCAACTTTGAAATAGTGACAGAATTAATTATTGGATAAAATGTCCAATAATCAACAATATCCAGGGCAATCCACAATATTACTTTATATTACTGAACTAATATAAAACATCTCATATCCTGCATGGGTTTGCACTAAAACAATGCATTTATACTGCAAACAAGACAATAATGAAACTTTCTTGTCTGCATAAAAAGTTTCTTCATTGTAGTTCTTTTTCTCATTAGCAGGGACTCTGAAGTTCACCAATTCATGTTATCCTTGGTTTCCTTTCTTTTTTGTCCTAGCTGCCTTTTGTCTGGCATTTTATCAGGAAATCCTGCAGTCTCCAAATGGAGCTATTCTGTGGACCATCCTCAAGCCTTTGGTACAGGGCAAAATTCTGTATTACCCACAGATTGCTGAGACACTACAAATTCTTCAAAAGGTAGGTGATCATTTTAATAGGAACTCTATTTGCGTATTTGTGTACATCTAAGACAAACATATTTTTGTTATTAATATCATAGCAATTAAATAATCAATCTTATATTTGTGGTAGGCTAACTCTACTTTTGAACATATCCAAAAACTGAAACTCTATGCAGAAGAAAGTGGGAAAAACAAATTGGGAAAGAAAGAGAGCATCTTTATCATCAACCAATTTCAGGTAAGGAAAATACATTGGTTTACCAAAAAAAGTGCTTTTAACATATTTATACAATTGCTTTCGGTAGTAAGAAAAACACAGAATTGTGCTCTGCATTCAAAGTATAACATTCAAGGATTATGGAAAGAGCAGAAGAGTTTGTCATTTGACCTGTCTTGTACCTGGCTTGGCCTTTGGTTGCTAGTTATTCACCCATCCATTTTACAACATAAGCAGGTTTGTTCAAAGACCCACAGCTTTTCCTCAAGCAATTATACATTTGTAGCTGACGCTAGCACATAAGGGGAATCTTGACCAAGGTGTGAGGTGAATCCCATATGCCCAAATGCAAAATAAATTGTAAGTACAAAGGAAAGAAGTTACTAAATTAAGAGAACAGATAGACATGAATAAACTTAAGATATTGGTAATAATTAAAACATCATAGTGCTATGGTTATACGATTGGGAAGTTGCTATTGAAGTGTTATAATGTAAGGAGAAGGTTCAGCATCTTGCTAGTGTCAAAATTTCCAGATCTTGGGAGCTTCAAAGCAAGGATGTTTTTGCTGAGGTGTAGGTGTCTGAGATTCACTGATCAAAGCAATCCTAAGGTTTACCTTGGTTTGCCTTAGTTAATTCAGTTCTTGATAAATCATTAATACAGGAGCACTGCATAAAATCAGCCAGGTACAGAGGAGGAAATGGAGAGTGACATAAAGTTTCTATTTTAATTTAAAAAATGATATGCATATTCTTATACAGCTTCTTAAAAGGCTAGAGAATAAATTAGATAACTGTTCTTTAAATTTGCAAAGGCAGATATAAAGACTGTGAAATCAGAGGAGAGATTGGTAGCTTAGAAGAACAGACAGATGTTTCAGTGAATGCAAAAAGGTAGAGTTGTGTGAGCCTAGAAATAGAGAAAGAGAAATTGGATTGTCCACTTACCAGGACAGAACTGTTTTGCCTCTGGATAACATTGATAGTCTCTGATAGTGTTCAGAGTTATGGGGTAGAACAATACCCAGTTCTTGAACAGAGTTTCAAGCACAATGCTCTCTTAACAAGGTTCAAATACTTAACTTAAATCTTGTCTTTATGGATGGTTTTGACAAGGACATCTCACCTTCTGTCCTTCTTTCTCCTCTCGTCTCTCTCCTTTTCCTCTCTCCATACCTGCCTGTTTTTAAGTTGTGTTCCTATACTGTTGGTGACACTCTTAATGATTTACCATGAACTTAATTAACTAAGGCAAATCAAAGTAAACCTTAAAGTTTAGTGGTACTCAGCGGCCCACTGCTCAGGACAGAGACCAGCATAAGCCACCACCTCTACAGCAACACCTCTCAACAACTGAAGCGACAACAGCTAGGGCTGAACCTTTCTCTTTCTCACCTTCACCTGGTTTTAACAACATGCCAGAGACTGAAGGCCTACAGCAGAGAGGAACCACAGTGGACAGCAGCAGCAAAAACAGCCTTCACAGAGCCAGCGATACCAACAATGTTTCTGACTGTAGTCTGAGCCCCTTGGTCACAAGATTGTGAGTGGTCAGACTAGAGCCCTTGTGACACCCTGTCTACACTAGAGGACAGGGTGAGTTATGAAACACTGAAAGAGCAGAGGAAGAGCTCTTAAATCTGCACTGCAAATTTAGAGATCATCTGCAACAGAGATGAACAGTTTTTTTTTGCCAAAGAGCATGGAAGACAAGCCTCCCTAAGAACTTACTTCTATCTGCAGTACCGATGAACTATCTAGTCTCACCTCATACAACTATCTGCATCAGCAACACAAGCAGTATAAAGAATATGGATCTTTCGTCCTTTTAGTAACTATTCAGGCTAGTTTTAAACCACTTCTACACCTGCCATTCATTTACTTATTCACATCAGGGGTGGTTACCATGGCAACGCGTCTCCCTTAATCCAGGGCTCCGCTCCCCACACCAGACACTCCCTGCATTGTATCACAATAAATGTAGCAAGAGATTTAACTGTAGGTCGTATTCTGTTGGTTTATAAAACAGCTTTATCTATGCTGTGGATCTGTGTAGGTGGTATTGAGGATTTGAATACTAGGTACCTGTAGTAGTCTTGGGTTTATCTGGGTAATCTGGATGTAGGCCTCTGGGATGCCTTGTTTGTAAATAATGGAATTTGACTTTTGTATGTTTATGTTGTGTGTTGTTTAGTCTGCTATTTCCATTATCAATAAATATTTGTTGGTAATGTATGCCTGAGTTATTACTCTTTAAACAAAGCTGTGCCAGAGAACAAAGACCCCAGGTGCCTCTAATTGTACCAACCACGTGGGTATTATCCTGGTTTTGGGGAATTCGGGGATTATGATTATTAATTTAATTACTGAAATTATTGATTAATCTGCTTTCTCATTTCTTAGATGCATTATTTTTGAACCCCCTATTTGTAACAATAATAATTTGATAGTGATGGAAGTCAAAAACTTAAAATTAACATGGTTTTCAGAATGTTGTCCTAAGTCTGCATGGTTACAGGGGCTACTGGCTGACAAGAAGAAAAAAACAAAGGGGTCACTTGTTAATGCTGGAATTTATTGGACTAGACATTCAAATTTATCAGTTTTTTGGGAGAATTGGAGTCTGTCTTTATCCCAAATTTCACTTTAAACTAAAAAATATATTCAATAAATACATTAATAGCATTATAAATTAATACATGATGTGATTTCTACAGCAGTGTGAATTGTAAAGAGATCTATTCTTTATAAAATTGTAGACCAGAATTATGTGAAATTGTAAACTGTCATTGTCTTAGCAATGCTAATTTCTGTACTAATTTGTTTTTCTTTTGTTTGATTACAACAAAGGGATCTTCTACCAATGTAAGGAACTGGAACTTATATATTAAGCTTTCTTACAGGGAGCCTTTCAATATATTTGTGTTCAGAACTTTGTTCAAAGCCATTTCAAAATTGATTTGGATATACTGGCTGCAGAACTTCAGGATTATGGTAATTGTTATTATTAGTTTTATTGTTGTTGTTTTTGTTGGTGGTGGTGGTGGTGGTGATGTTGATAGCAATTGTAGTAACATGGTTGGCTTGTTATAAAATGTGTAACTTTGTATCACAATTTAGTATACAGTAATTATATCTCAAAACAAGCTAATTACTAATTTAAATCCTGTGTATACAACCTGCGTTATAACTTGTCTTATAAATGCAATTGTGAATATAATATAATTGTGAAAATGAGAACTTTGAGAACAATGTTGTCACATACAAAATATGCACTTCGAAACATTTTCTTATAATTTGTGTCTTATTAATTTATATATATATATTAATTTGGCAAAAAGTTTATTTTTAAGTAACTCTGATCTTGAAGATGAATTATTTAAAGACATAATATCTGGTAGTTATAGTTGCAACCACTAGTTTTGCAAAGGATTGTGAAAAACCTCAGGTCTAATTTGATTAAGCTTTAAAAGCTAAACATCATTGGCCCTGATTAGAATATGTTTTAATTTTTATGTGAGGCAAAACATGTTTAGTGCATCAATAAAACAATTACTTTTCCTTCAAATAATTAGTGGTAAAATTGATAATTAAACAGACCATAAAGGTAGAAGCTTGTTTTTTTTAATTTTCTTTTAATAGTCTGGTTTTACATTTTATTTTCTTGTCTATTTTATAGGCTTTATATTGTTGTGCCCCTGCATATCTTCCTCTGATTACTGAGAATTTCAAATGTTAACAGCAAACTCTAGATAATATAACAGTAATAAAAAACATAAACATAAAATAGCTAAGCCGTTTTTCTGATGCAGACTAGAATAGATATAACTGAAAAAAACACTAAATCTATGATTGTTATTTATTCGGACCCTTATGGAATTACTGAAAATTTATCATGTAAGTAACACATTTTCAAAGGGTAAAAAATCACCTCTGCAAAGGGCTTGGAGTGATGATAAGAAACATATGTTTTCTGAACATGTTCTGGGGTTTACATTATCTCCTTGAAGAAACACTCAAATTATGCTGGAATAAGACGTAATAAAAGTAGGAACTACTAGTGATCATTCATTCAGGAGGTCTTCTTTACAATGACTTTGCAATATATGCTGCTTTTAGAGAAAGCAATAAACAAGACATTGAGTAGTCCAGTGACTGAGAAGATTAACGTGCTGTCTGAGCTGATGGTAAACATCTCAGCTTGTGTATCTCTGGACCGTTTTTATGGATTTGATTCTCTTGAAGAAATGGAACAAAAAGCACAAGAATTAATGCGACAGAATGACTTCCTAGCTAGTAAGTATAATTCCAGTAAGTAGTGTTGTCATATAGACCTTTCCATCCAGAAACTCACACTATATTTCCCATTAAAAAACACAGCATTTCCTGTGTGTCTGCTCATATAAATCATAAAAAATAACCTCAATTTGAATGAAAAGATGAAGCTGCTGTCATAAGGCTGAGGCATCTGGATCCATATTTCAACTCAGTAAAATCTTTGAGGGTTATTGCAACTTACTCATGCAGTGTAAAGAAGTTCAGCACATTGTAAACACAGAAATAAAATTGCATAATGCAATGCATCCATACTTAAAATTGTGCATACCATACATCACAGTGTGTCATGAGATTAAACTTTGGTGTCCAAGCCACAATCTGTCCTGGGTCAAATCTTGGGTCAAGATAGACTTAAACTTGGCCTGAGCTTGTCATACAGTATTGTATGCCACATTGTCATTCATACTCCAGAGTAGTAATGCATGTACTGTATATTACAGGATGAGGATTTATTGCAGGATGAGGATTTCATTGCTTAGCCCACTTTCCCTTGTGTGTTTTTCATTGAAAATTCAACAGATAACTTCAGTAATACTGCTATGATTTTTTCTCCTAAAAAGGTGTGATATTCAACATTACTGGGAGCAACAAATCATCTGCCCCTTCTCCTTGTTCACTTTCCACCTCATGTGAGTTACACCATCAGGACCAGTGTGTTCCACAGCATGAGGACAGACCAACTGCAGAACCCAGTGTGGGCAGTTCACCCCAAGACGGTGCCCATGGCCAGCTTCCGATACAACCGTATCTTCATTCCACTTCAGGACATGATTGAACGGGCAATTATTTCAGTTCAGACTCAGAAGGACATTACTGAACCCCTGTCGGTTGTTCAGGCTATGCCATACCCATGTCATTTCCAAGATCAGTGAGTATGTGTTAGGAATTAGTAGTGAGGACCCTATGCAGAAAACCAGGGAGATTTCCAGAGATGTACTATAGTTGAAAGAACAATCTGAGATCCAAAAGCCGAAGGTAGACAAGCCGGTGCAAAAGTACAAACCAGACAATGAAGCCGTAAACCATGAGGAAGCCGAGAGTCGAAACCAGAACAAGAATCAACGTACCAAAACCAAAACCAGGAGACGCAGTCGAAAACAAACCAGGATCAGGAAGCCAAAAATCAAGTAGTAAAATAATCACAAGGATCTAAGTAGCTCTAGCCAGGAAGAACCCTAATACTAAGCACAGGGGAGAGAGTGAAGCAGAATTAAATAGGCAGCGGTAAATGGGGTAATTGGTAACATTTTGGAATGCGAGGTGGAATGCCGATTCCTCAGGGGGCATGGCGTTACAGTATGTTTCTGGCATTGCACTGTATTTCTGGTGTTAAGGCCCTTTTTTGAAGATAATTAAAATAATCAACAAATAACTAAAAATAAATTTTAAATAATGTAATAAAGACATAATAGAGAACTGTAGATTTAAATAGATTTGCAGATGTTCTCTAAATTATCAGAAAATCAAGGTATACATTAAATATATCACAATAACAAATCACATAGTAATGTAACAGAAATAGGGGGGGGGAATTGAACCTTCTTGTACAAAGAAGTTGAACACATTTATTTGTTGCTGAGTTAGACTTCAGAACATACGGGAATGCTAAGAAGTGTGAATTCAGGATTGAACGTCAGGGGCAATTAGTCGGGTGAGAAGGGATAAATTTCAGAAATAGACGATGTACCATCTTTCTGAAATTATTTGATTGTTTAAAAAATGTAGTCCTTGTTTTGGTGACCATTCTTTAGAATATTTACAATCAAGACTTAAATCTATTTGAAATTAATTACATTTTTGTTTTAAAAGTGATTCCATACTCTCCCTTTTACATTCTGAAGAAAAGAAGCTGTTCCTGTAAAAATTCCATGATTTGTTGTTTTTTCTCCTGTTCGTCCTTGTCAGATTCCTGGGAAGCCTTGGGTTTTTATTCCCATTGTTAATGATGCTGGCTTGGATGATCTCAGTTGCCAGCATGGTTCGACAACTTGTCTATGAGAGGAAACTACAACTGGAAATGGTGAATTATCTTGTTTTAATATATGTATTATGTAATAATATATGTATTATTAATTAGAATAGAAACATACACCATGAGCATTGCAAGAAACTCCTTAATTCAAGACTGATGTATTGGATTTATCTTAAAATTACAAAATATCTGTTCATAAGAAGAAAATAAATTAAACCATGAATACACATGCACAACATTAAGTTACTGCGTATCACATCAAATGTAAGACTTCTTAATTAATAGGAAATTATTTGTATTCAGGGTTAATTTTTATTTGAGCCAGTAAACTAATGTAACAGAAATAGGGGGGGGGACTGGCCCTACATTTACAGTAGTACGTTAGTACAACATCAAATGCCAGACTTCTCATATAAACTGTTCATTTGAGCTTCAGCAGATAAGGTTGTATAGTAATATAGAATACAAAAAATAAAACTCAGATATACAGTATTGTAAATTTCAATGTGTGTAAATATATAAGAAATGTGTTTTGTTTTGCTTTCTTAAAAATAAAGCTGTGTTGCTAAAAATACTTTGAATGTAGCAGAGGATCCTGAAATAATAAACAGAATCAATTAGCGCTAAAATGACAAGTTGAACTAAATGTATGCCATTAATTAAAAAAGGAATGAGTTAAGGGAAAACTGGATCATTTGAGGTTCTTTTAAAATCTTTTAAAGCCTGAACAAAGTGAATATTTATAACTATTTAGGGCTATTCACTGAATCTAATACAGCAGATCACATAAAAAAAGCATGTGTATAGTTAGGAGTTAATTTTAAAAGAAATTCTTGAGCCTTGGCTACAAGTGAGGCAAAGTGAGGTACAGACAAGATTGTGATTCTCTTACACTAAGTTTGTTCCATCCATAACCTGCCACAAGATTCCCCATACAGTTATATTCAGTGTTGGAGTGTAAACGGGTGGTTAATGTGTGACGTTCCTCCACTGCCATGCTACAAGTCAAGGATGATCTCCCATACGTGTATACTACTTGTGCCTTTCAACTTCCAGTTAATGAACAAATAAACCCCAGCCTCCAGCTGGTCCAGCACAGCTCACCTATATATATATATCTTTATCATTATATATGAACTACATAAATAAATTGTGGACTGCTTTTTCAAAATGATTGCCAGCAGCTATATCACCCTGTAACTCATAACTGGTAACCCACTGAAGCTCAGCAGGTGTGAGGCTGGTCAGCACCTGGGTGGGAGACATTCTGGGAAAGATAAGATTGCTGCTAGAAGAGATGTTAGTGGGAGCACTCATCCTACAGTCTGTGTGTGTCCTAATGCCCCAGTACAGTGATTGGGACACTATACTGTAAAAAGGTGCACTCCTTATCATGTTAAACCAATAATCTGACTCTCCATGGTCATTAAAAATCTCAGGGCATTTCTTGAGAAGAGCAGGGGTGTTACCCCAATGTCCTGGCCAAATTTCTCTCTGGCCTGTATCAGTCATGGCCTCCTAATTATCCCCATTTATGAATTGGTTTCATTACTCTGTTCTCCTCCCCACTGATAGCTGGTGTGTGGTGAGTATACTGGTGCACTTTGGCTGCCGTCATCATCTAGGTGGGTGCTGTTCATTGGTGGTGGAGGGGAGTCCCCAATATATTTAAAGTGATTTGTCCAGAAAAGCGTTATATAAGTGTAAGGAATATCAAATTGCAGAACTCTGGAGGGGCCAATGCTACTTTTAACTACATTTCTATATGACATATGTTTATAGTATAAGCATGCATACTTTATGTGGAAACATATAAAACATATAAAGTACCACCCCAAAAAGGTATTAAAGCCCTGCTTCTGTAATATAGTGATAATCATGTAATATGTTTTCTAATTATAATTGTCTCTTAATAACCACAAACATGCAGACACATGTGTATCTTGTACTATTTTAAATAACTGGGTGTATTATCTAATTGATTTTTCTTAGTATTTGGAGCTAATGGGAGTCAAGCCAGGCACCCATCTTATAGTATGGCTGCTGGAGAACATGGTCCTTCTGGCAGCCAGCAGTGCCCTTCTGGTCATCATCTTCAAGATAAGTGGGATTCTCCCGCACAGTGATTCCCTCCTCCTATACCTCTTCCTTCTGGACTTCAGAGTGTCGATCATCATGTTCAGTTACCTCATTAGTGCTTTCTTCAGCAATGCCAATGTGGCAGCTATGTGTGGCAGCATCCTGTACATGATCACTTTCTTCCCCTTCATGATCCTGGTGGTACTCCAGAGTCGACTGTCCTTCTCTGTCCAGACTCTCATTGTGAGTGTCTTTCGTCATATCAAACATGTGTAAGAACTAGGACGTTAATATAAACTGTTTAGTTCCCAGCAACAAATTGCAAATCAGACCAAATCAAAATATATAGCAATTTAACAAGTTTAGTAGATTCCATGCCATTTGTAAACTATGAATACAAAGATTATTAATGTATGTAGTATACTACACACAGTATTTATTTTTCTTCTGGAAATATTTTTTTAAAATTAAAAACATCTTTTTAACACATTTCCTACATGTACAGTGTACAGTGGATACATAAAGCTGTGATATATCTTAATGTGGTTTTGAAATGTTTTACAAAACTTAAGCTCTATTTAAAGATAAAGATACTTCCAGTTGATGAATACTTCAAATTTTATTTTTTAAATGTATTTAGCAGATTTTCTTTTCCATTGACATCCCCTCTGTAACAGATTTTTCTGAATTTAGTTCAGCTGATTCAGATCAACATACACAAATTATGAACAGCTTCTTGTTGCCTAGATCCAATCCCTGTCTTTTACCTGAAAGCTTGCCTGCTAGACAGCTGCCCTTTAAGTTTCAATATTATCAACAGTTTGCTTTCCATGGGTCTGCCCCTACTGCTTTAAAGACTACATCAATCACTCCAATACTAAAGAAAACTGGCTTGGGTTCTGACATAAAGATGAACTACTGACCAACTTCAGTACATTACCATTTCTACCTAAAGTTTTTGAAAGTGTAGCTGCTGTAATGCCACTGCCAGTTACAGCCGCGAGGGTGGTGATGCATCAGATCCCAAGCAGAAGTGACCGGAGAGCGGTGGAACACTCAAGGAAACCTGACTGATTGAGGGCTAGGATGCTCCGGGAGAAAGGGAAAGGTGAAAACAGAAAAGTGAAAATAGAATAATTAATTACTGGTCAGCAGGGCTGGAAAAAAACAGAACTATGTGGCAGAGCAGGGAAGGCCCCAGCCAGTCAGCAAGAAAAGAAACCAAGTGTAGTGCAGCGGTCTGGGAGATGCCAGCTGTCTGCATCCGTGCTGACCAAAGAGAGAAGCTGACATGGTAAAGTGCCAGCACCGATTTAGACTGCTCTTTCCAGCTGACCAGAATCTGGGATACTCTACTCCAGGATGGAACTGGCTACCGAGCTGCCAGAAGGAAAGGAGGCTGCACAGATCTGGGAGGCAGCCCTCCAAGTAGCCAGGGGTGCAGGCCAGAGACCCATAGGCTGATGTGCAGGACAAGAAAAGGAGTCTCCTAAAG